CTTCCTTCGCTGGCTTTATTCCAGCGGGGTTTCCTTCAATGCCTTTCGCAATGAGGCATGGAGGGCATATCAGCAGGTGCTTCTTCAGCAGCCTGGCAGTTCGCCGCGTGCTGTGCTCCCTAGCCACAGCGAGATTGCGAGCATGCAGGCAGTGGAGAGGCACCGTGCGGAGTTGGCCGAGGAGTTGGAGGAGGTGAGGCAGCCATTTTGGATGACTGGCGCCACCATCCTCTCAGACGGGAGGAAATCACAAGACGGGAGACCGATCGTTAATTTCCTCGCCGCAGGGTCTCGAGGGGTCGTCACGTACACGACGATCAATGGAGAGGGGGAGCCGGACGATGCTGTGCACGTCCCTCGGAGATGGGTAACCATTTTCCACGAGTTCAGGTTCGGCAGGCCGCAGCGGGTCAATGCGATATGCACTGACTCCGCGTCAGCGTACGTTGGGGCTACCAAGGCTCTGACCTTGGAGACCATGCTTGCAGCATTGAGGAGGATCACTTGGCTCCCATGCTTGGTCCATGTCTGCAACAAATTGTTGTCAGACATGGGGACGTGTTGCGACGCGTTTGTTGATACTATCACACACGCTCGTGTGCTGGTGGTGTTTTTCAAAACCCATCAGGCGGCCCTTCATTTTTTTAGGAAGCGCAGCCCCAACCTCGGTCTTGTTCTATCATGCGAGACGCGGTTTGCGTCTGTGTACTCCATGTTGGAGAGGCTCATGGCCCTGCAGGACACTTTGCACATGATGCGAGGGGATGACGAGCGGGTTTTTGCCTTCATCCCGTGGTCTGCCGATGTTTGCTACATGGCGCGTTGGGTGCGTCGACAGATCAGATGGGATCCTTGGTGGCAGAGGGTGGCCACCATCGTCCATATCATGGAGCCCGTGATGCAGTTGCTCCGACGGATGGATCGTGGAGGGCAGTTCATGTCGCTCGTGCTCGAGTGGGCACAGGATCTTGTGCAGCGGGTGAAGGAGGCATGCGCTCCTTTGGGGTCCTCGATCCTAGACCGGATCATCAGGCGTGTGCAGGCACGCTCGCAGCACATGCTAGAGCTGGCCCACTGCGCTGGGTTCTTACTGAACCCCCGCAGGCGACATGTTCGATATTTTTCCGGCGAGGTGCAGGAGTCCTATGCTTGGCTTGTGAGACAAGTCAAGAGGTACATTCTGACGCAGACGGGTTTCGAGTTGGAGGGTGCGGAGCACCTCCTTGCCTGCCGGCAGTTCGAGGACTTCCACATGCAGCAGGGTAGGTTTGGTGATTGGGGCGGGGCGGAAGGGCGTGCTCATGGGCGCGCGTGTAGCGGTGACGCCGAGATGATCGAGTGCGCGTCTTGGTGGTCCCAGTACGGGGCTGGCGCCCCTGAGTTGCAGCGGTGCGCTCTTCGTGTGATGCACATGTGGTCTTGCGCCTCTCCAGCGGAGAGGAACTGGGCAGTCCACGAGGGCATCCACACGAAGAAGCGTAACAGGTTGGCCTTTGAGAAGGTCGTGCAGCTCATTGAGATCACCGCAAATATGCGGTTGACAGAGTATCGGCGGGCAGGATGCAGTTACGTGCTGCCATGGCAGCGTGACGAGGGGATGTTGGACTGCCAGGCAGGACTGGAGGTTGAGCCGGTGCGCACGGGCACGCGCCAGGGGATGACAGCGGCGGAGATTGCAGAGAAGGTTGCGCTTATTACACGCGATCCCATCGGGTCTTCCGCACCGCCATCCACTAATGTCGTTTTTGAGAGACGTGCTTGCATTTTCCGTCCATACCCCAGGGACGATGACTCGAATGAGGAGCCCGCACCCGAGGGAGTAGATGACCCTGCGCTGCCCATCCCGAGCGAGATCGACGAGACGCATGAGGAGGCCAATGATGCCGAGGTGAGGACATACACGGCACGGCGGGCAGCGGACCGGGCAGAGGAGGAGATGCAGAGGGGGGACGAGGATTTATTGGGCCCTTTCGGGGAGGTGGCTTCCACGGGTGATGCGGGTGCTGACAGAGGCGGGGCCTCTCATGCCGACACGAGCCGCGTACAGGCGGGGAGACCGACTCCTGCTCCTGCCGGGCAAGAGCCAGCCGTTCAGCCACCTCCTGCGCCGAGTCCTGCACCGCCCATCCCCGTCTCGCCTCTTCAGCCAGCCACTACACAGGCGGAGACGGAGGAGTTGGCATCCTCCTTGCCTCCGCACGGGTTTTTTTGCAGAGATCGATGATGGTTCGACAGTTGATGTTATGATCACCTTCCCCGGGGGTATTACAGGAGGAGGGGGATGTGGCAGCAGCAGCGCAGGAGGCATTAGCAGTGTCGACAGCGAGGGAGGAGGTGCCAGCACAGGCAACGGCTGAGGAGGAGGTAGCGGCAGCGACGCCGCAGGAGGCCGTTCCTATGGATCATGACAGTGCAGACACCGATCAGCAACTTGTGTGGCGCTTCATCACGGAGGAGGTCGATCCAGTCGTGGGGGGTTTGACCCCGGGGGCGGCGATGGAGCTGGGGATTTCTGCTCCCACAGGGGGGGCGGGGTCAGAGATGGGGACGCACTTCGACTTCGACTTGTCGATGGGCGCTCCACCTACTTGCGGCAGGTCGGGTGCCGTCACGGGATGACGCAGCAGACGCTACGGGGACGCAGACCCCGATAGAGAGGACGCAAGCGGAGTCTCCAGATACAGCACGCGACATCATAGAGCGAGAGAGGGCTCGACTTATGGCATCGAGTAACCCGCGTGCTCAGGCGTTCGCACGGGCCTTGGAGGAGGCCAGGCGTCGAAAGACAGGGGGGGATGGTGTGCAGGGTGGGGTGGTGGCTGGGGAGGACGTTATGGAGGGAGTAGCGGCAGAGGCGGACGATGAGGCTATACAGGGTGGGTTACAGGCAGTGGATGTTCCTGTGGATCGCCAGCCACAAGCGGCGAATGAGGCTGTGCAGGCAGGACAGCGGCGAGATGAGGGGGCTATAGATGCACGGCCCGTGGTTCAGGAGACAACGATGGGTCCAGTCGTTCCTTTCTCGGGCCTGCACTTGGCTTAGGGCCGACAGTCGTAGTCGGTGGAGGTGGTAATGCATGGTGTGCCACCGCTCATTATCACGGATATGGGGTCCGAGCCGGTGGTGGTGCCTCCACGTCCTCCTAGTCACTTTGCTCCGCAGGAGGTCCATCATCCTTTGGATGCAGATGAGTTGGCGAGAGATGTTGTGCGCGATGTTACTCGATTGGACCGGCGGATCTTCGACTGGAGGCTCGAGCATCCAACATGGCAGGCGATCCCTTCGGTTCCATGGGGTCCTGCGTCACCCGTGTGGTCTGGGTCTACCTCCACCGGAGGACGTACTGCGGGAGATGTTCCAGGGGTTTCGGGTGGCGTGCAGGAGACAGCGCCACATACAGGAGACATGCCACCCCCTCCTCCTAGACCACCTGTAGGTGATCCATCATCGTCGCCCACAGGTAGAGGCTCTCGATCCCCACAGACGCCCGGGAGATCGAGGATTCGTGACACGACAGCAGTTCTGCGGGACGTGTGTGACTCGACATTATTTGGGAGGACAAACATAGATTTGGATTCTACCCGCCGTGTCACGAAGCACACTGCACGCCTTCAGTCGGGCTTGGGAGGAGTTGGCGCCAGGACGACCGCAGCGAGGGAGGTACCAAAATCAGGTTATGAGCCTCAGCGAGGTCGCGCCAGAGGAGTGTCCACCGACACCTTGGAGCACGCTCTCAGAGCAGTGACGCGTGCTGTGCAGGAGCAGACTCCAAGCGTGGAGTGCCTCCTCGTCCACGCCCTGTGGCTGCAGAGGGAGGCGCTCCGCTTGGAGAGAGTTCGGGGGCGGAGGGGTTGGGGATGCCTCCTGGATCCCGCCGTGCGCAGACGGTTGCAGAGGCTAGTGCGAGGGTTGTTTTATTGAGGAAGGGAGGAGGCCCTGTCACCATCGAGGAGGATGATCCTGAGACGGATGCGGCAGTGCGGGAGGAGGACAAGGACTATGAGGGCGAGGAGGAGGGTGAGGAGGAGAGCGAGAGCGGTTCCGGCAGTGACGACGACTACGGCGACGATGGGCCCCCACCTCCCCCGCCGACGCGTGCATCTAGACGCTCTGCTGCGCAGACTTCTTCATCCGCACGAGGGAGGAGGAGGTCGCCATCTGGCTCTCGAGGGGGTGTGAGGAGACGGAGCGGGAAGGGGAAGAAGGGTCGTTGACCGTGAGGCCAACACTCTGTTTTTTCCCTACTCGCACTGTACTTCATCATGTTGTGAGGTCCTGTTTTTTTTTGTCGTGTCGTCTTTGTCTTCGTATTGTTAGACACTCAGTATTAGTGTGTGTGTTGTAGTTGTTGTTTCTTTCGTTTTTGGTGTGTATGATTTTGGTACCAGTAGGGTGATCGTAGGGTAACGTTGGTTGCAGCAGACTAAGTACAGTACAGAATCTCGGCAGCTACAACACGACTTGTACACTACTGTTTCTTGTATTTTTTTCGACATGTGTTACGAGTGCCTTAGTAGTAGGATTATACTAGGATACACTGTATTATGTTACATTTTTCATGTGTGATTTCAGTGACAGGTACTTCGCGTTGTTCACGACTTTTCATGTACATGACATTTTCCATGTATATATTCAGTTATGAGTGATGCACATCGTGTGCGCGACGTTTCGTGCCCATTTTTCCCAGGTCTGTGATTTTATATCTTTATTTGTTATTCGCATTTTGAATTTTATTTATTGTGTTTGTTTCTTTTGATTTATTTTTTGTTTTAAGAGTTGGGTGGTTGTTTTCTTTTTGTTTTTGTGTCGTGTGCGTGACGTTTCGTGCCCATTTTTCTCAGGTCCGTGATTTTATATCTTTATTTGTTGTTCGCATTTTTGAATTTCATTTCTTGCGTTTGTTTCTTTTTATTTATTTTTTGCTTTAAGAGTTGGGTGGTTGTTTTCTTTTTGTTTTTGTGTTAATTGTCGAATCTATTTGCATTGACTGAAATGCTAACTGATATTTCGGGGGGTACTTAGT